GACTGAGTGTGTTTTTATTCATTTGATATGGTTAGTTACTTCATTTCAGTAAAAGAAAAAATCGTGCGTTAGAAGAATTTAAATATACCTTATATATCCTTTTTTTCATTATTCATAACTAATTTCATTGTTATATACGAAAAAAGTATGTTTTCATTTATGTCATACGGTTGGTAACATTTTTTTAGTAAAAGAGAAAATTATGCGTTAAAAGTACTTATATATATAGCATGGATCCCTATTTTTAATGTTTATAACAATTTAAAATTTTTGATTTGAATATTACCATGATCAATGATCATTTTTCAGTAGCAATGTTCAATTGTTATGAACACAATTCCATATTATTAACAATTATTATTGACTCTTATAGCGTCTTTAATGCTGTTTTCTCAATCCTGACACGAGTTTAAAATTCTTTCATGGCTGATTTTGTTTTTAGAAAATTTTTTTCGATGAAATATTGTCATCATATTTTCATATTAGTATTCTAATCATTTGATATTCATATTTTTTAAAAGATTTTGAAATTTTGTTTAAAAGATGGTATAATTTATAGATTGCAAAATTCAGGTCGTTTTCCATTTTTGCTAGTTTTTTGGTTTTACGAAAAAAACGGCTTGACCGATTTTGCTGAAAATCTAATCAGTTCTAAGTTACGTAATTACAAGTCGAATGCAATTGGTCCCACATCGATAATCGACCATGAAAATTCTGAACGAACGTACGCACATACGTACATACATACACCCAGATGTCCACTGGAAAACGATCGTATTCGAATCAGGGGACCTTAAGGATGTATAAGGATGAAACTTATAATCGAGTTTTACCCTGAAAATTTGCATATAACTAGGACAATATGACTTACATCCACTATGTAATTTTTAGGGTAGCTAACCGACTGTTTTTGAAAAATAATTGATTTTGAAAATCGACTAAAAATGGATTAGGCTTATGGAAGAATAGGCACTACTTACACTATATTGATATTTATATTAATAAATCAGTTGGCTAGCATAAAAAAAAACTATAAACAATATAATTCGATAATGGAAAAAAATATTGGTACTATGGAAAAATTGTTTGCCCGACTATATTTAAAGAAAAATGATTCTAAACTTTTTTTTTTATCAGAAACCACCATGAGTTCCTTGATAACTTTACGCTTGGCAACGTTGTAATTGTCGTGAATGGATACAGCGAATAAAAACGCTTTCTATTGGTTGTAAGCAGAGAGCGGAAAACTCAAAAACTTAAAACCGTAAATAGTTTATTTCCAATTTGATTTTCTAATTTTTTTTTAAATTTATTATCACATAAATGTTATAATTAAGTTATAATAATTTATTTAAAAATATAAATAAACTTTATAAGTTTTAGATACTTTTTTAAAAAAGTAAAAATAATGGAATAAGAATAATAAATTATGGATGAATGAGTAACATCATATATCACTTGAAACATTCATATAATAAAAATATAATATAATAAAAGTAAATAACTAATCATTTAATCTGCAAAATATCACGTGTCATAATAAGTTATTCACTAATTTCAATCAGTCTTGTTATCATTGCATTGATTATTGCCTTCGATTTTGTCACACGTGGCTTACCACCTACATCTTGACCTAATAAAATTGTAATGCCTGTGTTTCCATTTGTTGCATATGTTTCCTTCAACTTTTTTAATGAAATACCAGCCTCTGCTATTTTTTTGATCATTTCTGAAGAGAGATCTCTTTTTTTTTCATTATCTAACTTTAATTCTTTTTTTTGGTGACTGTAAAATAGAAAGTTCTGGTGTCAAAGATGTTACAATAGCTGATCTACGTTTTGCATATTGAAAATATAGAATTGATAGAACACTTGATTACAAATCATCAACTGACAAATTAATTTCAGTGTTAAACATCAATTTCTGCAACATTGTTACATCACCTATGGCGTTATGAGCTTTTACAATCTCATCATTATTTAAATAATCTTTTGCTAATTCCACAGGTCCAAAACCTAACTTCGATGACTTGCGTTCTAGTAGTTTTTTTTTAAACAAAGGATAACTATCACAGAATCCATAAATAATATTACTAAATCTAGCTAATAATAATTTTTAAAAATTTTTGTCACAATAATTAATATTTGTCTTCGAATAATTAATTAAAACGGCGCACCAAAACTGAACATTTCACCGGAATGCCAAAAATGGTCAGTTTTTGGTGCACGCGTATAGACCCGAGTCGAAATTTAACTTGTATCTAGAGTCCCATGAGTTCCTAAATAGCGTTTTTAAATATAATGTAGACCCGATAAGTCCTCAGAAAATATTTTTAGATATACACTGAGTCTTGTAGGTCTTATTGAAAAATTTTTAGATGTAAACTGGGTAATAAGTTCTATCGAAAAATTTTTAAAAATAATTAGGTTCCAATAGATCCCTACAAAATATTTTAAATATAAATTGAACCTGATAGGTCCTTGCAAGAAATTTTGAATGCTATTTGAACCCAATAGGATATTCCAATAAATTTTTCCTGTCTTTCAGTTGATTGGAAAAGCATTTTCGCATTTATAATTATTTTCATAAAATGAAATGGATCAGGAAAGATTTTTCGCAATCAATCGAATACTTTACAATACAGAAAATTTATCTTAATTCTTTATTATTAAAAGGTACTGCTGCATACATAAAATTTTCTATTTTCATATCAATACAGACACGCTAAATTTCTGATATTGGAATAATTACAAAATCTTCAATTTCATAGAATTTATCTATATAGAGACAATCTGTCAAGTTTGTGACATTCGAAAGAATAGAAATCATTCAGCTATTTATCGAAAAAAAAATCAAGTCATATTTCTAGACAATTCTTAGTAAATTCAAGTAATCGAATTCAAATTCATTTCGCATTGCATGATACACATTCAGCCCTGACGACAGTCAGGAGGAGTTCAGGAGCCCAGACGAGCAAGTTGATGAGCCAGATCTCCAGCCACAACGGAGATCAACTACTGAGAGCACCATCCAGACAATCACACCACCGAATCCAGGTCTACCCATTCAATTGACCTTCAAAATTAGGTCTCAAATGGCTCGGCTACGCTTAGCCCAGTCATTCACTCAACAAATCACGGATCAACAAAAGAAAATCACCGAAGAAGAAAGACTCTCGCTGGAAAAACAACTCACAGCATTGCACGAGTCTTTTAATTCAGAAGATCAAGTGCTTGAGAAGGTTTGCCCACCATCCCAGCTTCATCATCCGTACATTGTGAAGGATGTCTTTGAGACATCAGTCTCAGACTTCTTCATGATATCTGCTAAAGTAGCTTCCAAATTTGAGTCCATGATAGCCAATCAACACGGTCTGGATGAGGTAATCAAGTTCAATTATCTTATCTCTTCAGCCAGTTTGCTGAGTCTAAAATAGCTGCACTGCATTCAGCCAAGATCTTATCCTTAATCACCATCGTAGACAATTCACTGGACTCACTTCGATTACTAGGACAATCAACTGAAAATTGAGATACAATTCTCATTTTTCACATTCTCAAACATCTTGATCAGCATACTCGTGAGCTCTGGGAAACTTAAGATAACGATCTTGAGCGAATGCCTACATATTCAGAGTTTCATGACTTCTATCGGCTCGAATCCGTACGTTGGAGAAATTAGAGCCACGAATCAAATCAGACAATCAACAACGCTCATCACATTCAACTACCAGTGAACGTAGATTCATTCGTGACTGCTGTAATGGTGGTCACGTCATCGTAGTCTGACCAGAGTACAGGGCTTTGCCTCTCGAACAACGATTGAGGACTGTAGAAAGTAAAAAACTGTGCAGAAACTGTCTTGGAAGACACAACACACCGGCTTGCACCAACAAGAACAGATGTAAGGAGTGCAACTCCAAACATCATACAATGTTCCATTCACTACTCTTCAGACAATCATCAGGCAGCAACAATCAAGCGTCTTCCAGGACACAATCATCACAACAATCATCATCAGACACTCAGCCTTCAACTTCACAGCAGTGAAGAGACGAAGCAGTCCTCGAAGAACATTCAAATAATTCACAGTCATTCAAGCTTGCCGATGGACTTGCTCTGGAGGGTCAAACTGACTGGATGACCTTAGCACATGGGGTTTCGGCCTCAGGAGGGTTGAGGGTTCAGTTGGAATGGTCCAAAGGACAAGTTCAGAAGCAGCAATATCATCTAGGACAATCAAAAGGTCAGAATGACCACAAGACAATCAATCAACATTCAACTAGTAGTGCTAATAGCACACAAAATCAACAATCAAGTGACGTTAATTCAATTCTACCTAATAGACAATCGACGATGAGAGCAATCTGCTCAAATGAAACTATTCCAAGTCATCTACAAGATGATCATTCAACGCTGTTAGCAACAGCAAAAGTCAGAGCCAATTCACATTCAGGGAGTTACATTGCACGAGCTCATAGATCCTGGATCAGAGCTAACATTAATCACTTCTCATCTAGCCAACCTGCTGCAACTGAGAAAACACCATCAGACAATCAACATAAGAGGAGTGGGAAGCTCTAAGCTCACTCAAACAAAAGGTGTAATATTCTGCGAGCTACAGTCATCATCATCCAGTCATTCAGTATACATTCGAGCTCATATAATGAAATAGTCGACAGCTTTAATTCCAAAAGTGCCATGTAATTATCCCAACAATCATTGGCCTCATCTCAACGGATTACACTAGCTGATCCAACATTCCATAATCAATAGACATTCTACTTGGAGCTGACTTTTATGGACAAATCATAAAACAAAATATATAATTCTCCAACAGCTCCTATAGCTCAACTTTCGATCTTTGCTTGGCTAATTCTTGGTCCAGTAGCACCAAATTCATCAGTCAATCACTATCATATTCATCATGCTACCATAATCAAGAACCATGAAGACATTCAAGAGTTGCTAACACAATTCTGGGTCTAAGAAGAAGTTCCTATGTCAAATCAACATCAATTATCATCCTTGGACGAACAATGTGAAGATTTCTTCCAATCAACTCACTCTAGACACTTATCAGGACGATACATTGTCAGAATTCCACTCATCTGTTCACCTGCAGCTCTTGGAGACTCCTATACAACTGCGTATCGATGCTTGAAACGTCAGTTGAGGAGATTAACCAGCGAGACTGAATACAGCAATCTCTATAGACAATTCATGAAGGAATACGAAGAACTTGGTCATATGAGACCTGCTCCAACGATCAATCAAGAATCTCAAGACATTCATCCATACTTTCTTCCTCATCATGGGGTTTTAAGACCAAGCAGCACTACCACCAAGCTTAGAGTCGTCTTCAATGGATCCAGCCCGAGCTCAACTAGAATCTCATTGAATGACATCACTCATACTGGAGCAAAAATTCAATTAGACATTTTTGACGTACTTCTTTGGGTTCGTCAACATCAATACGTATTCGCAACTGACATAACAAAAATGTATCGTCGAATAATGTTTCATCATGAAGATTGGAAGCTTTAACAAATTCTTTGGCTAGACAATCACAACAAAATCATTCCATATCAACTCACAACAGTAACCTACGGCATTAGATCAGCTCCTTATCTAGCAGTTAATGTGTTACGGGGCGGCTTCCCCGGGAATGTTATTCAGTGTATATTGTGTACCTGTTAGTGCTGAAAATAAAGATATTATATTTTTTATAAAACCTGACTTCCGTTTGCTCTGTTCCGGCACAATCATCCCTATCTTTAAACGGTTAGGTTAATTCACAAGTTGAGATTTTCTCAGTAGTAATTATTTAGTTTAGGTTGCTAAATTATGCTGATTAATTTGATATATATAAGGGGCGCGGAAAACATTCCTTCACATACTTTTTCAAGGTTGAAAGTTCGATAATAACGTGCATTAGATTTTATCTCAGTAGTACTCTATTCGATCATAATGATGTTTACATTTTTTTGTTATTGTCTGCTTCTATGATTTGCTTCAAAAATTTAGAAATATGATAAATATTTCATCAGTTGAAATATTGAAGCGAATATGATCACCCAATATCAATTTTTAGAGCTCGCTGGTGATCGCAATAAATTAATCGATTTTTTAATTGATCAAAAAGTGCTAAGAGGTGAAATAATATGTACAGGGTGTGGTTCATTGCTTTCTATAAATCGCAAGTCTTTATCTTTCCGTTATACCTATAGTTATTATCAAGTACATCACAAACAACGGCGTCGCAGAGGTCGCTGTCCATTTTCTTTAAGTGCACTAACGGGTACATGGTTCCATGGAATGCATATTGACATTCAACATGCGTGCAGAATAGTCGCATATTTTTTGTATCACCGATCTCCACATCAGGCCAAATTGGAAGAAGATTTCAATGTTTCATCAGCTACCGCTGTTGATTGGAGTTCGTATTGTCGAGAGGTTTATATCATTCATTTTATCGAGTTTAATGGACGATCATGTTACCTAAGATTTGTGTTCGTTTTTCAAGGTTTGTGAGTTTTGGGTAAACCGAACGTCAAAAAGAATTGGCGATGAAGGGCACATTGTGCAGGTGGATGAAGCGCATTTTGGTAAAAGAAAATACCACAAGGGCCGTATCATTTGAGGAACGTGAGTGTTTGGAGGAATAGATCTGGCGACCAAGGAGCGCTTTATTCAGACTGTCACGAATAGAATAATGATAACATACCACGTTATGGAAGAAGTAGATCTCATTATCGTCAGTATTTTGGGGAATTTTTATTTAAAAGATATTATTCATATTCAAATAAAATTGAAGCATTTATGAAAGAAATTTCACGAATGTATCCTATAGAAATTGATGATTATTTGTACTGGTAAATAAATGATTATTGTTGGAAAATAATTGGTCATTATATTAGTCGTAACTAATTATATTTAATGTTGGAGAGGATTGAGGGTGAGGGATGGAGGAGGGGGTTGTTAAAAAGCTGGTCTAAATTTTCAGTGCCTAAAACAAGCCCATTATAGGCTCAAATTTTGAAGGAGCCTAATTGAAGCCCAAAAACATTTTCCAGGCCCACAACACGCTCAATTCGAGCCCAAAGATATTGACCAGGCCCATAACGCGCCCAAATCAGGCCTAGAACACGCCCCAATTGAAGCCCAAAAATATTTTCGAGGACTGAAACACGCCTAATTGAAGCCCAATAATATTTAAATAAATAACTAAATTAAATATATATATCGATGGACATAAAGTTGCGTTAGAAAGTAAGTAGTCAGATCTGGAAATTTCTATTTATGTTTGATCTGGTCTGATTGAATTAAACCACATAACATCAGATCTCAAACGATATATTGGTATTTCTTTACACATAATCACGTCAACTCATTCGAAAAAGTATGTCTGTAAAAATCTCAACAGATCTATTTTGATCAGACCGGATCTGATAGTTCTTCTGGAATTTCGAATAATATATATCGTATATTGCAACAGTTGAAATTTCATAACAATTAGTAACAAATGTATAAATTTTGAATGCTGAGATTTTTTTCGCAATTATGACGAAATTATTTCCACACAAGCTCTCTATCTACGAACCTTACATTAAAAGAAATCACAAGGAAGAAAAATATCTAACAGAAAAAAATAAAATGGAATACAGAAAAAGGACATAAATTGATAAATTATTCAATAAATTACCAAATATCAATAAATTTTTTCTTATAGATGAATCGAAACATTAATTAATAAAAGCCGCGACAAGTGTTCTGAAGCGTATTTCCTCCTTTCTTCTATATAGTGAGACAATGAGTCCACCAGTCTAGCTGTTGCCACCTATAACTGATGTCTCATAGCCCAGAATTTGCTCACTCACGAATTAAACTATTAATTTGTAATTTTTTAATGCCCGTAATGCGCCAGGAAGTTTTATACCAGACTTCCACTGGTTAATGGTACGTGAAATAAGTCAAGTAATTAACTGGCCTGCAAGCAGGACCTCTAGTTTATTTATAATAATAATTACAATTATTGAATTTAAGTTCGCAACTGTCGCGACTCTATTGCAGGTTACTGAAGAATCATACGCGGAACGTTCCAACGCCACACCACATACGATTACAAAATTAATTGACTTATTATAATTGACAGTAACAATTAAATTGAGCGTTATACTTAAGATGCTCTAACGTACAAAATCTCAGGGAGTATTTATGTTGGTCGTTATACGTTGTTTACAATTTATTGAGTCTGCCGTACACACGATAACAATGCGTGATCTTAGCCAGCAACGGTTTCTCGAACCTTCGAGTCTTTTGTTAAGTTGTGAGTTTAAGGCGTTAGTTACTCGAGAACAAAGTAAGGTATAGAGTAAATTACTAGAAGATAAGAAGATAGTCGAAATGACACGAAATCCATGCAAGAATTATAAGATGTAGATCAGGCTCACGCTTGTTGCGTCGTATCCGCCTCGTCGAATTCTCCGAATGGACGACGATAGCTTCTGCCGGTCTTTCTGGTTCCTCCAGACATCTGTTTTGCTCTCGCCCGAGATTTCTTGACAATGGTTCACAACTGAACTATTCTTCTTGCCAATGTTCACAACTGAACTATTCTTCTTGTAGTAATTCACCAACTTCGGTAACTTGATTGCGATGAGGCACTCTTACTTTTATTGTTACTTCTCGAGTGTCTCGCAGCTTGTTCTCTTGCTGCCGCACGATCTCCGTGTATCCCTACTAATCAATAATTTAGGGCAGTGGGGCCACTGCACGTTCCCTAATTGGGTCATCTGTTTTGAGGGATGTAATTCACGCCGTCGCCCGACGGCACCCGATGTTAATCGATTGCCCATTGCGAGCATTGACAGGCTGAGCGCGAGATCGCTACAATCCTCGTCTCAATAGCCAAAAACAATTCAAAAAATGATCTGCTACATATGACAATTAGCATAAAATCCTCAAAAGAAACATTAATTGATCGGTTCAAGAGAAGCTTTGTAAAAACAACAAATTTGATACTGATTCAAGAAAAGAAAAAAAATCTGATGCTGATTCAAGACAAAAAAATAAATCTGATTATGGTTTAACGGAAGATCGTAGATCTGATGAACGTTCAAAAGAAGATAGTAAATCTGATGAACTGTTAAAGAAACATCGTAAGCTTTATGAACTATCAGTATCAGAGAAGTTTTTTATAATATCTATTGATGAAAAACGAATGAACAATCTCCAAAAACAAGATTTAATTATATAATATCTGATGACGAAAAAAGAAATGAACGATCTCCAGATTCAAGGCCTAATTACATAAGATCTGATAAAGACGAAATAAATCAACCCCTGGAAATAGAAGATTACTTAAATCTAGCTAAGAATGCCGATCCTAGATGTAGCATTTTTCAAAAGGAAATAATCACAAACTTATTAATTATGATTTTATTATTTACACTTCAGTGGTTCAGTAAGGTAGTACGCTATTATTTTCTATGAATTAATCTCTCGCATACAATCAATAAAGTATATTTACTCCTTTTTTCACCGTCTTAATTGATTAAGATATCAGTTATCAAAATTATGTATCATATGTAACCCATACATATTATAGTTATTTTACAGCACACAAATGACCTAAAAGCTCATGATAATAAAAAAGCAGTCATATTCCAAATCACAGACTTTTCCCAGAAACTATTCAGAGTTTTTCCAAAAATTTATTTCCATACGGAAAGCCAATTTCCTAGACATTCAATTATCATTCAGTGATTCTTGATTAACATTCTGTTATTATTCAGTAACTTGTAAGTGACATTCATTCAGTTTTAGTGACTACGACTTGTACAGTGTAATTATTGTTCATTAATAGTACTTCTAAATAAAGATTAAAGCCCCGTCTACAATAGGACATTAGACATTAAACTTTAGGAATAAGAAACAAAACTTAGTCCGTGGGAACGGAACATTAAACACTATCGGAAACATAAGCGGAAATGTCAATGCTTCATTTAATGTATATGTGTACTTTAAATTTTATTTATGTACAGTGGTGATTTTTAAATTTATTCAAATACCTAGTGCAAATAATGAAGAAGAAATATATATTAGTGTATTTATGTGCGAAAATTTTATAAATAAATGCATTTTCATAATTCGAAAAAATAAATCATTAATTTTTATTGAATAAATGATTTTTATTAATTCAAAACAATTGATATTTTTGAAAAATAATCATTTGGATAAAATTGTGTATAAGCCTGATACGTAATTTTATTTAACTGAGTGTTAATTACATTATTACATCTCTTGAAAGGTATTGTATTATTATATTTCATTATAAATATAATAAATAATTATTTTGATATTTATTAGTTTCATCTAATTTACAGAACTGCTAATATAACGCATTGGATAGATATTCAACTCTAGAGATTCAACGAGTTCCTTTAGACTCTTTTTTATTACAAATGAGAATTCGATTTTGTCTTTGAAAGAACATGGAGCTTTGACAGAAAATGAATAACTTGCTTGTGTAACTTTTGTAACAATAATTAGAATTTATTTACATATATAAACTTCATTAAATACAAATAAAAATTGTATTCGTGTAAACACCATCGAACTTTAAATGGCTCAAAATTTTTTGTTAACGTTTTTCAAGCTGTGGTATATTTTGATCTAATCTCTCAAGTTTCTCATCACGATATTATGATTTCCACAAAGTGTTATCCCAATTTTGATCTCGATTAGAATTTTCTAGAAGCTTTTCCAAATGAAAATCTTGCAAAAATACCATCATCACTTTCACTTCCATATGCACCAATATCCCACCAGAACTAAATATTGTTTTTTTAAATTGTGAATTATTAATGTTGATGATGAAGCATATTTTAAATACTAAGAAAAATAAAAACAAACGTTCCAGAAAGTGGTGGGTACATCCCATTAATCAGCAACGACAAAAATTAGGACATTTCAACACTCTCTTTCAGGAATTAAAAAACTTTCCTGATAAATTTTTTAATTATACCAGAATGACTTAGCAATCATTTTATGAATTATTAGAAGAAGTATCTCCATATCTGACCAAAAATAGTCGTCGTCAATCTATCTCAGCAGAACATCGGTTGCTAATAACATTGAGGTATATATTTTTCAGACTTGTAAAAAATACCTTCTGAAAAGTATTCAAATACAAATACAAATACTTGGCTTGAGATTTTCTATCGGAAAACATATTTGCATTATTACGATTATTATAACAACTTGATCGTCCTTAATGTTGAAGTTAAGAAAAAATGTATTAAGGTAGTGTCGCCGAAGATGGCCCGGCTCCTAGGATAGCCCACTTTTATTTTGAAATTTCGCGGGTTTATGCTACTAGTACCATAGACAATAGTGTTGTCTATGGTACCGCGAAATTTTAAATTAAAAGTGGGCTATCCTAGGAGCCGGGCCATCTTCAGCGACACTACCTTATTGCAAATCATTTTTCAAATAAAAAATGTCCTTTAGGTATTTAGCTACAGGTGATGAAGTATCATCTCAGGCAGTCGAATATCGTATTGGAAGATCAACACATCATTCAATTATTAATGAGACGTGTGCTGTGTTGGCCCAAGTTTTAATGCCAAAATATATCAAAGCTCCAGATAGTGATCAATGGAAAGCTATTTCTGATGGTTTTTATCAAAATGGAACATGCCTAATCGTATTGGTGCCATTGACGGAAAACATATTGAAATAATTGCTCCACCTAAATCAAGAACCATGTGCTACAATTATAAAAAAACATTTAGTACCGTACTCTTGGCAGTGTGTGATCATGAATATAAATTTACCTTTGTTGATATTGGTGCATATGGAAGTGAAAGTGATGATGGTATTTTTGCAAGATTTATTATATTTATAATGAAATATAATAATACAATACCTTTCAAGAGATGTAATAATGTAATTAACACTCAGTTAAATAAAATTACGAATCAGGCTTATACACAATTTTATCCAAATGATTATTTTTCAAAAATATCAATTGTTTTGAATTAATAAAAATCATTTATTCAATAAAAATTAATGATTTATTTTTCGAATTATGAAAATGCATTTATTTATAAAATTTTCGCACATAAATACACTAATATATATTTCTTCTTCATTATTTGCACTAGGTATTTGAATAAATTTAAAAATCACCACTGTACATAAATAAAATTTAAAGTACACATATACATTAAATGAAGCATTGACATTTCCGCTTATGTTTCCGATAGTGTTTAATGTTCCGTTCCCACGGACTAAGTTTTGTTTCTTATTCCTAAAGTTTAATGTCTACCCTGGTTAAACAATCCGATAAAATCTTATAAAAAAAAAGTTATAAGAATCAATCCGAAAATTGCATGAGAAAAAGCACACTTTTTATAAGAATCCATTAGGCATTTTCTTATAAATTCTTAAAAAAAGTGTTAAATTTCTCATGCAATTTTCGGATTTATTCTTATAACTTAATAAGAATCTTTTGGAAAGTACTATTTTATTTTCTTACAAATTCTTACATAAACTGCGACATTTCTCATGCAATTTTCGGATTGATTCTCATGACTTTATAAGAATCTTTTGGAAAATACTATTTTATTTTCTTACAAATTCTAACATAAACTGCGACATTTCTCATGCAATTTTCGGATCTATATTATAGATTTTTGAACAATCTTATACAAAAGATATGTTTTCATACTGATAATTATATGAGATTTTATAAGAACTATTCGTATCATACGAATAGTTGTATTTTATAAGATTATGTAAGAGCCTCTTGCATCGTTTTCTATAGGAATCTATCGGTAAGTATTATGCATTTTTGGATTGTATTTTATAAGATTATGTAAGAACCTCTTGCATCGTTTTCTATAGGAATCTATCGGTAAGTATTATGCATTTTTGGATTGTATTTTATAAGATTATGTAAGAACCTCTTGCATCGTTTTCTATAGGAATCTATCGGTAAGTATTATGCATTTTCGGATTGTATTTTATAAGATTATGTAGGAACCTCTTGCATCGTTTTCTATAGGAATTTATTGGCAATTATCAAACATGAATGAATAAAACGATTGTTTAAACATAAGAATGTTTTTGTGTATTAACTTATATTACTTAACATTTATCATTATTTTCCATATCGCTGAAACCACTTGTTTCTTCCTCGTTGGAATTTTCACTTTTGACATCAGTGTCATTTTTTGGTTCCATCTCCTCTCCGGTTTCCCTTTTTTCAATCACATCACCATCATCTTCTTTTCTCTCTCTTTATTTTCTTCTACTTTTTCTTCTCCATCAAAATCAGCGCTATCTTCTGCTTCTTTTTCTGTATCTACTTCTTCTCTGTTTTCTTCATTAATATTAGAATTATCTCCTGTTTCCTCTTCTTTTTCTGCATTTTTTGATTTTTTATCTTCTACGGTTGTTGTCTTTTTATTTTCTTTCCCTTTTTTTTTAAGATCCGCAAGTAACAATGCTATCACCGATCTTAAGCGGGCTATGGTCTGGTCTTTTTTTATTTGAGACATTTTTTTATGTCTGATTGATAAATAATGCTCCAACACATCTGAAATGAAATTAAACAGATCATTGCACCATTTACACGTTATTTTTATCTTTAAAAAAAATATCTCATGTCTATTATCTAAAATCTCAGATAAGTTTAATTCAATATTTCTTTACTACACAAAGCTTTTCCTAGGATCGTTACTTACCTCTTATTGCATTAATTTTTGTGCCTGAAAGTCCTTGGACTTGCATATCAACATTTTCTAATTCTTTTTTTTTTTGTTTTTATTCGAAGGTCTGCCAGATACTGTGCTACTGACGAGTTCTTCAGCGGAGAATAAAGCTCTACACAAATCACGAACAACCACACCGGGTGAGGAATTTGCCATCACCATATCAAATGCTTCAGTACTAATCCATATGTCGTGTCCGATGTGGGTCGTTCCGTCTGTGACATTTGGAAAGCCAATCGGTGGCAAATTTTGAGTTGAAGTGGATGGACCATTAATATTATGGGAATATTCGCGAAATAAATCTGTGTGGAACAAAAAAAATTGTAACGGGTTTAATTCTTTAACTTAAATGTATATAATAATGAACGTATTGTAATCTTACTCAAAATCGATGTGATGTCACTGGCTATTTTATCCTGAATATTTGTTCTGCGATAATTTTATTTATTGTATGTTGGAGTGACTCATGTTTACGTTTTTCTGTTTGTAGTAGTTGTTTTAAAGTTTCAAACTCATTTTTTAGTTCTTTCATTTCACTCTTCATCCGATTATGTTCTGTCGCTGATATACCGTCGTTGGAATTTGTTTTCTGTTAAAAATAAAAAAAAAAAAATGCTTATTGATTATATTCAATGACTAATAATTTTCATATTGAATTTATTTAATGCAATAAATGTAATTGGCAATAAAAATAATAAATTTTCTTTTTTCTCCGTGTTTATATAACGAAATTTAACGTAAGAAGTTAATAAATAAAAAACAAATTTTTGGATCGTTTTGCATAAGTGTTAAAAGCCCTTTCCAATATATGCTTGATTCAGTGTAATAGTAAAATAGTAAATTAAAAAACTATAGATCATTATCAATGGAATAGACAAGTCTCTTTTATGAATGACATAATCAATCATTGTAGCAAAACATCTTTCAAGCAAATCCGAAGACTGCTTTATCAATTCACAAAAGAAGACAGGTATGAATACATAAAGAGGAGAATAAATATTTTTCTTATTTTAAAGCAAGTGTTGTCCTCTATAAGTTGAATAAATCTTTTTGTTCACGTGAAAATTGATTAGTATTAAAAAATTTAATTGAAATATTTCAAGTTTATCCAATGCTTAAAAAATCTGTGTGTGAAATGCCAATGAAAATTAATTCGGTATGCATAAGTATCATCATATTCTTGACCTTCAAGGTAGATGTTCATAAAAATGTGATGGATAAATCTTATATATTTCTGTAAGAATTCATTGGAAAAGATATTTGTATTTTTATAATTTAATTTTATAAGAATCGATAAGAATACATCCTATGAGTTTCTATAACGATTCATCAAAAAAATCGCTTTTTTCCATCTGTAACTCAGTTTTATAAGAATTCGTGAGAATGTATAATGTAAATATTTGCTCAAGTACGACTTCTACCATCGATTAAAAAAATTTATAATTTTTAATGAAATCTTATAGCAACTTATAAAATATATTTTTATACACTCATTGAGAATGTTATTTACATATGTCGTAATCTCTGATCAATTTTTTTGTCAGAGTTGTAACTGGTATGTTTCTACACTGATAGAAGAGATGTATTACTGTTAAAAAACGATTTTTTAATTATTAAAATTAATGTTTTTCAACTGTTAATAAATATTTTATAGTAGTAAAAAAGCCTTGGTTACAATGAACAAATCTTGTTTTATCGTAAAAAAATATTTCTTAACTGTTAAAAATATTTTTAACAATTCATAAACCGCGTTCGCAACGCCACCTACCTTTATAAACCAGAACTCATATTTATCAATAATCTAACTTTTTGTCTTATGCATATCTTTTATTAATTGGAATATGCATGAAATGGAACCAATTCCTAACTTCATTCTAATAGTATGTCATTTGATATTAAAAAAACCATATGATACACAATAAAATATGGATTGTATTGGTTACATTGTTAAGAAATATTTTTTGTACTGTAACAAGTCTACGTTTAATAGTTGAAATATGATTTTTTAACTGTTACAAAATATTTTTTAACAGTTGAAAAGCCTCCTTTACTATTACAAATTTCTTCTATCAGTGTAGAGGCCATTATGGTGTATTAAAATTGTGAATGTAAGATTATGCAGTTTAAATAATCAAGAGAAGCATACCAATAGAAAAGCAAAAATAAATGAAAAAAAGTCATCGGAAGCCATAAATTGATAGCTTTGAAAATTAATGCCGTCAAACCGATACATAATTCAATCGCATTATACTTACTTATCGTTGTTGATTAAACGTTGAGTATCGGAAGTAATTTTTTCGCATTCAGTAATCTATAAAAAAATTCGTCAGACAATGCTGAGAACATGGAGCATGTACATAAAAATATTGGTTCCAAACCATATGTATATTTCTGAAAATAATACTAATAATCTGATCAATATTTTCAGTAGTATGTAGCTTACAAACGAGAAACGTGTGATAAATGTATTGACAACACAAACAGGGGACACAAATGAAAATTCTAGCCCGACGATAATTGTATGTTATAATTTATGAAAAATTATTAGTACCAAATATTCCAATATTTTATATCTATTTTTGCAAGACTCTACATGTCAATATGCTATCAGATCCTATAAGAAGTTACTAGTAGATAATATTCATGACTCTATTACTCATTCTTGTAAGATTATATGAGAACATATTCAATAAGATCATACAAGATCTTATTAGTAAATAATATTTCAATATTTTCCTCCTAATCTTATAAGACCTTATCAAAGCAGATATTAGAAGATTGTATTAGAAATTAATGGTGCTAGATGCTTTAATATTTAATTTTTATTTTTGTTCTGTAAGATTTTTTATTTTTATGAAACTATTATCTACTTTTGTACGATTTTACATGTACCTAGTTCCGTCAGATGCTATGACAAAATATGTTATCAAGTCCTAAAGAATCTAATTAATAAATTTATATCAATACGTTTTATAAATATACTAGCTAGTGTTATTAAATTATACGAGAACCTATGCTATTAGATTTGTAATAACATATCAACCAACAATATTCATCAACATTCATATCCTATCACTATGTTTATAAACTACTATAGTAGATTCCTCTTCATTATTTATTTCCATTAATACAATTTCTGTACTTTTATTTGTAATTTCCAAAATAATAACATGTAAAATATGAAAACGCGAATAATCATATTCATGTTATATTAATTGCGGTTTTTCAAAAAATTCACCATAACTATACTATTTATTTAAATTCTGTTATCACTATGATAATAACGTTATGTATGTTTGATAAACACGATATACCATAAAATCTAACATTATTTAATATTCATCAGAGATAATCTGATTACTTGTCATCAAAAGCTTTTTTTACATTGTAACATGTATTTTCTTTAGCAATAATACGTAACGTATTACTGCTCAGACGTATGACGCCTAGTTGAAAAGCTTACAATTTGATTATGTTTGGCATACATGTTGTTAAACATGTTGAATAACTCAAAAAAAATATATAATGAAACTCTGTTGTGAACAGTACTTACAGCAATATAATTTTTTCGTTGGACACTTTTCTCTACTTTGTCATTTTTTAATTGATCAACTATATGTCGTTTTAAAATTATAGTTGCTTTCTTAGCTTCAATATTTGACGGTAGTTCTTCTGAATTTTTACGCTGCAACGTAGATAAAACGATATATATGAACATATACAAAAATCATATTGATTAACGATTTAACAAAAAAATACAGCAATATAAATGAACTTACTTTCATTGATGCAACCTTTAGAAGGTTTTTTTTCTTCTCTAAGTTATTATTGTCGCTTCTATTTTTAACTTCTAAAGTGGTAGTAACTTTCTTTTTATTTGATATGGAAGAAGTTCCCGGTTCCATGTCACTTAGTTCTGAAGCACTTCTGATGATGGTGGACGGTGGAACTGGCACTCTTTTTCCATCGATCATTTGTTTCACTTCCTCTTCACTATCTACATGGAAAATTAATACATCAATCATTTGGAAATACTAAATTATATTCCACACAATTCCATTATAGGTTAGCCAAAGTTTATTTTATGAGGACGAAAGCCTTATATACAGAAAGAAATTATTATCTTACCTTTGAGAAATAAAATTATTCCTTTGTGGGTAGCTCCGTCGATGATTATGTAGTATTGTTGTTTACTATTATAGTTCGCGACATTAAATTTTAATATATTTGTCACGGGCACTATATATTTTTCTTTAGTGGTCAATTGCACGTATGCCCATTTTGTACTTTTTTCTGTCATCATTACAATAAATCAGATGAAATAATAAGTAGTGTGAACAGTAATAACAACAAACATGTGGTAATGAATGACGCAGTAGAAAAACGTGGAGCCGTAACGGTTTTGGCGCCCAAAGTTTCCATTAACAAACGCTAGATGGTGCCACATGGTAGTTCTGTTTATCCAGTTTTCAAATTGAAAAGCAAAACTTCACTACTAAAAAATATTTGTAGCAACTTCACTACTAAATATTTGTAGTAATTCGATACATTTATGAATAAAAGAATTAATAAGAATTTATATTCGTGCAAAATTTGAAAAATAATCAGTTATATTAATAATAAAGATCTACAAAAATCTGGGCTTGCACAAAAATAAAGTTGTACATACACTAATTAGCTAATAATATTTACAATTTAGAGAAATTAAATGGTTATTGTAGTATATTAAAATAATCAAAATTAATATAAATAATGAAGAAAATTTAAAAAGGTTTAAAACTTCAATGAAATCCAAAATAGAATTTAAAAAATGTAATTATCACTTAATGTTACCAAAATCGACTTTTTTTAATATTGAACATGAACAACGTACTTTTGACTAACATGAACAATGTTATACTTCGAAATTTGAGTCGAAAATATTTTTCTTCATTACTAAATGTATAAATCATTGAAATCTTATAATTTTTGAGCATGTATTAGTAATATTTTCATTTACAGTAATATTATTAATAATAATAAATTTGTCTATTATATTTATTTCTGTTCCCTAATAAAAACAGCTGACACGACACCTAATAAATATGAAAAATAATATAGCCTATTCTCCATGCTAAGTAACGAAATCAACGTTTTACAGTGAAGTTTCGGATTATTAATTAGAAATTAGTTAGTATTTCAATCATAAATGTGCATGTTAGATAATTTCCATCACTATCAGAGATTAGAAATACCGTAGGAGAACCACTGTTTTGTTCAACAAATTTTTGGGCAGAGAAGAGAGACTATAGTATAACTTCTATGGTATACCTGGTTTAAAAATCCGGACGAAGCTTCGGCTAACAGGTATACGTTTGCCCATATAAAAGTTCGGCTAACACGTGTAAAAAGTATGTCTGTAAGCGCCCATTTACGTTGAGCCTCTA